TCTGATGAATCCACTCACAGGGAGGCTACATGAGTGATCATCAGCTGGAGATGGTGGAGAACAAGCTGTACGAGTTGCTGGCAGCTCTGAGGCCAAACGCTGTCGCTTTGGTGGATGCCTTTGAGTTTCCTGATGGCGTTCTGGACAGTGCTCTAGGGCGCTATGATGGAAATGTGTATGAGGAACTAATGGAGTATGCAAAACGTTCCAAGCTGAATAAGACTGAGGTAGGAAAACAGATTATTTCTCTAGTTTAGGCAAGGTATTAGCATGGATTAGATCAGTTAAAAATTGGAAAATAAATCATATTGTATGATTGGAATATATATGATTTGATATAAATATAACACACACCAGAGTCAGTCAGCATCCTTTGTGCCATTAGATGATACGGCATATATTGTTTTTGTTTTTTAAAATTCCATGGCTATGATGGCGGGAAAGAGATTGAGTATACATTGAAGAGGACAGAGAACATCTAACAAGTCAAGTAATTCGTGGGGGGCCTTCCTTCAAAGGTGGAGTTTATCTGCCTCTAGGCAAGGAACCAAGAGTCTGCATACAAATAAGTTAGATCTTTAAAATGGATGTGCACACTACATTAATGTTATGGAACAAGACTAGAGTCCAAATGGGGACAAAACAGCCAGAACTTTCCGCTAGAGTTTACAGCCGATGATCGTGAAGAAGAAGAAGAAGAGGATATTCTGCTTTTCCAAGTCAAAGATTTATGTCTTAAAGTATCCTTGTGTCAGGAGAGGATGTTGTGTGTCTTCAGTTACTCTCCACTCATAGAGGCAAAAGACTTTGCATGTTCCAGTAGCCTTCAGTGGTTACAGAGCTTGTACGTCCTCATGGAACTTGTTCATTTTCTCATATTTCCACTGTTTGTGCTAGAGGACCTTGTACGTCCTCATGGAACTTGTTCATTTTCTCATATTTCCACTGTTTGTGCTAGAGGACCTTGTACGTCCTCATGGAACTTGTTCATTTTCTCATATTTCTACTGTTTGTGCTAGAGGACCTTGTACGTCCTCATGGAACTTGTTCATTTTCTCATATTTCTACTGTTTGTGCTAGAGGACCTTGTACGTCCTCATGGAACTTGTTCATTTTCTCATATTTCCACTGTTTGTGCTAGAGGACCTTGTACGTCCTCTTGGAACTTGTTCATTTTCTCATATTTCTACTGTTTGTGCTAGAGGACCTTGTACGTCCTCATGGAACTTATTCATTTTCTCATATTTCTACTATTTGTGCTAGAGGACCTTGTACGTCCTCATGGAACTTGTACATTTTCTCATATTTCTACTCTTTGTGCTAGAGGACCTTGTACGTCCTCATGGAACTTGTACATTTTCTCATATTTCCACTGTTTGTGCTAGAGGACCTTGTACGTCCTCATGGAACTTGTACATTTTCTCATATTTCCACTGTTTGTGCTAGAGGACCTTGTACGTCCTCTTGGAACTTGTTCATTTTCTCATATTTCTACTGTTTGTGCTAGAGGACCTTGTACGTCCTCATGGAACTTGTTCATTTTCTCATATTTCCACTGTTTGTGCTAGAGGACCTTGTACGTCCTCATGGAACTTGTTCATTTTCTCATATTTCTACTGTTTGTGCTAGAGGACCTTGTACATCCTCATGGAACTTGTACATTTTCTCATATTTCTACTGTTTGTGCTAGAGGACCTTGTACGTCCTCATGGAACTTGTACATTTTCTCATATTTCCACTGTTTGTGCTAGAGGACCTTGTACGTCCTCATGGAACTTGTACATTTTCTCATATTTCCACTGTTTGTGCTAGAGGACCTTGTACGTCCTCATGGAACTTGTACATTTTCTCATATTTCCACTGTTTGTGCTAGAGGACCTTGTACGTCCTCATGGAACTTGTACATTTTCTCATATTTCCACTGTTTGTGCTAGAGGACCTTGTACGTCCTCATGGAACTTGTACATTTTCTCATATTTCCACTGTTTGTGCTAGAGGACCTTGTACGTCCTCATGGAACTTGTACATTTTCTCATATTTCCACTGTTTGTGCTAGAGGACCTTCTACGTCCTCATGGAACTTGTACGTTTTCTCCTATTTCCACTGTTTGTGCTAGAGGACCTTGCATGTTCTCATATCTCCATCTTAAAAAGGTAGAGAAGTCATTTGTTCTTCTTTTTTTGCGCTCATGGGCTGTAACTCTAGCAGAAAGTTCTGGTTGTTTGTCTGCCTCTGGACTGTGGTCTTGTTCTAGAATCTGACTGTTAAATGCACATCCATTTTACCTATCTGACTTTATTTGTATGCAGATTGTCCCCTTGTACGTCCTCATGGAACTTGTACATTTTCTCATATTTCCACTGTTTGTGCTAGAGGACCTTGTACGTCCTCATGGAACTTGTACATTTTCTCATATTTCCACTGTTTGTGCTAGAGGACCTTCTACGTCCTCATGGAACTTGTACGTTTTCTCCTATTTCCACTGTTTGTGCTAGAGGACCTTGCATGTTCTCATATCTCCATCTTAAAAAGGTAGAGAAGTCATTTGTTCTTCTTTTTTTTGCGCTCATGGGCTGTAACTCTAGCAGAAAGTTCTGGTTGTTTGTCTGCCTCTGGACTGTGGTCTTGTTCTAGAATCTGACTGTTAAATGCACATCCATTTTACCTATCTGACTTTATTTGTATGCAGATTGTTGGTTCCTTACCTCTCAGGCAGATGCAGTGTGACTTTGAAGGAAGTCCTCAATTAGTCGACTCTTACGGCATGCTTGTAGAAGAGGCAATGCGTCTGTTCTTGTTTTCCCCACAAGGCAGCCCTAGAACCCACATGGGGAGGGGGGGGGGGGGTCATTTGTTGTTAGCCGAGGTTCCACCTTCATGACAGACAGATCACCCCATAGTTATTCCATTCCTATGTTAGTGAAAATCTCACAAAATCCAAAAACACACAGGAATAGAGCAATAATTCACTACTCTCTTGATAAAGATGTTGGTTGAAACATTCTGTTGCATTTATGCATGACTTTTTTCTATTCCCTCTATTGAACTTTCTTTCCTTTAATATTGTGTTTATCACTTTACCATGTCAGAAGACAATCAGTATTCTTAGGGTAGGCTATCGGATTTTAAAACTGAAGTATGACGGGACAGCAAAAGCTGGAGGGGAAGATATGTGGAGGAGAGGGGGGAGACCACAAGGGAGTATGTTGGAAAAGATGGCATTTTACAAACCTTCACATTTATTGGGTATATATGGCTAGATCTGTATTTTATAAACCAAGTAGCACTTGGTGGGTGATGTGGTTACTATCACGTCGGCCACCTTTACTTCCCAGGACTTTTGCCTGGTACACACTCAAGATTGGGTCGACCTTGGAGCCAAGTCAATTTTTAAAAAGCCTGACTCTGTCAGGACCTGAACCTGTGATCTTCCTGTCCCCAGCCTAGTGTCTAGCCACTACACCACGGCAGCTGCCAGGATGGTATTATGACATGGGACAACATCTGTATCAGAAATGTTTGGCAGGGCGTGAGACAGGAGGTTGCAGATAGGTGTTATTACCATTGCCATATAGCATGATATATCTTAGAATAGTTTCCAGAAACGCAAGAAGTGATACAATTAAAAATGAATAAAAATACCAAGAATACTAGGAATACTTTTGCTTCTTCTTCTTCTTTGCTTTCACCAGCTGTAAACTGGCAGACAGTTTAGGTTGTTCATCCACTTCTGGACTTAAGTCTTGTTACAGAACCTGAGTCTTGCACACACATCCATTTTACAGATCTGGATAATTTGTATGCAGACTGTTAGTTCCTCACGTTCTGGGGCAGATGCACTCTGTCTGTGAAGGAAACATTCCTGATTAGCCGACTTTTGGACATGCTTGCTGTTTTTTTTAAATGGGGAGAAGACTGGGACAGGTCATAATGTTCATTAAATAGTGATAGATGAGATGGTTTGGCCATCTAACAATGCCCTAGTACAGCCAGCCACAAATATAAGGAACACAGAGCAAGGGGAAGACCATGCCAAATGTGGAACGAAGGCATCAAGAACAGCCTTAAAGAAATGATCAACTTAAATCAAACATTATAAACACTGAATATCATGAAATCTACCCCCCAACACTTTGATGAGGTTACAGGAGAATGAGAGAAACAAGAAAATGAAGAAACATCATGGTCTTTAATATGATGTCTTTACTCTGTTGTGATAAAGAATGTTATTTTCTCAAGCCTTCACCTTACAGTAGCAGAAGAGCTGTTATGTCCCCATATCTCCACTCTGCTGCAGTCTTCTTCTTTACGCCTCTTTTACCGCTTCGGTTGTCGAGGGAGATATAAAAGGTCCTGCTTCGTACTTTTCTGGCTGCTTCAACCAAAGACACATTGGGTACTGTGGAGTTTCTCTAATGTTATCCTTCCATCTTGTACTTAGTCTTCCTCTTGCTCTACATCCCTCTATTCCTTTTGTATATGCCTTGAATGGTATAGTATCAGAAGGCATTCTCTCCAGGTGGGCAAACCATTTGATTTTGCTGGATTTCTATGTAATTCAGAATTGGTTCTGTGCCGACCTTATCTTGTATGACCTCATTCCTGATTTGATCTCTTCAGGTCCCTCCTACAGTCTTTCTCAGACACCTCATTTCCATGGTTACTAATTTTCTGTTTTGTTTTGTTTTGAGTGACGTCTGGCACTGGTGGCACAGGGTGGGAATGAATATGCTTTGTATGAGATGTCTCTTTGTGCTGATTGAGATTGCCTTAAGCTTTAAGAGGGGGCTAGATGTCTCAGTACTTCTCCAGCCTTACTGCATCGAATGTCAATTTCTTTTTCTGCTGCGGTACTTCCAAGTATGTAAACCAACGATAAAGAACATTTAAACATAAAATCATTTATACTTTTCTTTAGGTACATCCTGGTTTCTTCAAGTACCAGAAGCCCTTTGTTGACTCCCTCAAGTCTCAAGCAGTAGCTCAGTCTCGCCTGTGAACAGATTTGATGACCAATGTAACAGCAGTGTACTGTATTTTCTGTGTACAAGATGACTTGTATTTTGTTTGCCCCCAAAATTAAGGAATAAATATTTGGAACACATTCCATGTATAAGAGGGCCCTCAAATTAAACAGAAAACATTTGAGGAAACATATTGTCTTATACACGGAAAAATACCTGTCAAATCTGTAAGTTTTGTAAATTTTCTTGTTCACTGTACAAATATTGGAGCACATTTATGATTCGTTTTTTTTTTTTTTTTTTAAATTAGAAATGTAGTTTTATGGAAGAATTCTGAAAATTCCCCCAGAAAGTAAAACAAAAATGCGTGCATGTTTTAGAAGAAGCCTATAAATATTTTGTTAGTTTGTTTAAATAGGGGTTACAAACTTGGTTTGTAATTTTGAAATACCCACTTAGATCCAGATGCAGTCGATGAGGCAGCAGACCACTTTTTGCATTGATTTTGAGAATGGTATAAAGAGTCGACCTTCAGAAAGCAGTGGCAAACTACTGAACATAAGATTGCCTTGTAAAACCACTAACAGCAAACAGATGCAGTGGCTGCACAACTAAGAAAATTTAGTCAACCTATCACAAACATCAGAAAATTTGTGGTTATTTATTTTCTTTTTTCTTTTGAGAACCAGGTAGAGATTTGGGGAGCATGCTGCATTACCAGTTCAAATAAATGAAGCAAATTAATAAATCATTTATGACTGAAATAAAAAATTAACCACTCTCACAACGATGGCAAAATATGCCAGGCAATGAATTATGCAATCTGTTGTTTGTATCTTCTTTGTTAATATTGACACGGGGGAAACATTGCTTTAATTCAGGGCTGGGAAGCCTCTTTTGGTTTGTGAGAAAAATTTAGAATACTGATCTGGTCGTGGGCCATATTTAAAAAAAAAAAAACTTTCCAAACATAACAGATTTTCTCGTAACACAAAATTTTGACACTGTCTTCTAATGTCTGAGTTTGTCTTCAGAACATGTATCTCTAGCAGGATCAGATATTTGGAGATATCAATTTCTGAATTTCACTGTTTAGACTTTTTTCAGGGGTCAGTAAAAATCATTTGGCCAGCCAGTTGTGCTCACCTCTGCTTTAATCTTTTGTGTTATTGCACATTAGTGTGTTAGAAGTTGCAATATTTTAGCAAGCTTAATCACCTGCATCAGTCAGCAATGCACTTGATAATGATGGTTTTGAAAAAAAAAACTGTTTTGTTCTTAATCATGTGTGTGTGTGTATATATATCTATATATATATATATTAGCCACCGTGGGTATTTTGTCTGTGAAAAGGGAACATTCATTCTCTTATACAACAATGTATTGCATTGCACACAAACCCTCATGTTATACAGATTTTTAAAGTTAGGTTTCAGAGGGTTTACTTATTGCACTAGGTTTTTTCCTATATTTCTGAGTCTTTAGCCACCTGCTGAGAGTATTGCACAATTAACAAACTCTGTAGGTGCAGGAATGATCCCCAAAAGATCTTTGTCAAAACCACTTGTAAACTGAATGATGCGTCCATGAATCAAACCCACCCTTCAGAGCATAAGGTAGATGACTGGACTGCTTTGTGATGGAGACCCTCCAGTAGATTTATAAAAGTTCAGAAGATTTCCTCATATTTCAGTCTATAGAACTGGTTTCCTAAATTTTTTAAGCATAAAATTGGGGTGTTTAAAATATGTATTTTCTGCGTAAAAAGGAGCATTTTATACATTGAGTGTGAAACAAATATGATACTTTATCTAAAGGTACACTAGTAGAAATTCTGATGCTGTTTTTAAACAGTATCTGTGATATTCTATGCTGAAATTGTAATAGCTGCTTGGTACTGAATGACAGTTGGCAGTAGTCTCCAACCATTTCTGTCCTTTATGATGGACTTTGGCTTCTTATAGTCAATATCCTAATGTTATTGTCTACACACAAACTTGTCCCTTGAGCACATCCATAAACTTCTTCTTATTGTGGATTCACAGCTGTAAACTCCAAAGTTCTGGTTATTCATCCAGATCTGGACTTTGGTCTTGTTAAAGGACTTTAGTGTTGCATATCACTTTCATAGATCTGGCTTATTTATGTGCAGACTGTTAGCTCGGCCCCTCTCAGGCAGACACAGTGACTTTTTAAGAAGTGTTGATTATATTTATGTTGGCCAGGCTCCCTGTAGGGGACCTGTTTCTAGGATGACCACAGAGAGTTGTAGCTATGTCTTGACCAATTTAAGCCCTTGTACATTACCACAGGTAGTGGGATAAAGGACAGAGGTGTAGCTACGTCTTGACCAGTTTAAGCCCTTGTACATTATCACAGGTAATGAGATAAAGGACAGGGAGGTGTAGCTACGTCTTGACCAGTTTAAGCCCTTGTACATTACCACAGGTAATGAGATAAAGGACAGGGAGGTGTAACTACGTCTTGACCAATTTATGCCCTTGTAGATTACCACAGGTAATGAGATAAAGGACAGGGAGGTGTAACTACGTCTTGACCAATTTATGCCCTTGTACATTAGCACAGGTAATGAGATAAAGGACAGAGGTGTAGCTATGTCTTGTCCAGTTTAAGCCCTTGTACATTACCACAGGTAATGAGATAAAGGACAGAGGTGTAGCTATGTCTTGTCCAGTTTAAGCCCTTGTACATTACCACAGGTAATGAGATAAAGGACAGGGAGGTGTAACTACATCTTGACCAGTTTAAGCTCTTGTACATTACCACAGGTAATGAGATAAAGGACAGAGAGGTGTAACTACATCTTGACCAGTTTAAGCCCTTGTACATTACCACAGGTAATGAGATAAAGGACAGAGAGGTGTAACTACATCTTGACCAGTTCAAGTCCTTGTACATTACCACAGGTAATGAGATAAAGGACAGAGAGGTGTAACTACATCTTGACCAGTTCAAGTCCTTGTACATTACCACAGGTAATGAGATAAAGGAAAAAGGTTAGTTGTTTGTGGATAATTTTTTTTTTTTTTTGGGTGGGGGGACTCTAATGTCAGAGTTTGTCTTCAGAATGGATTTCTCTAGCAGAATCAAATATTTAGAGATATCAGTTTCTGAATTTCACTGTTTAGACTTTTTCACTGGTGAATAAAAATTATTTTTTAACTTCCTTATAACCAGACCCAAGCAGTCGTTACTTTAATTTCCTAGTGTTTTTACAAATTTGTTTATTGTCATCTCTTGCCATGTTTATTGATGTAACCAGATTTCAGACACTCAGATTTTAGTTAGATTGTTTATGGTTGACTGAAAATCCTCTGGAAAAAACGGAGGGTTGATGATCAGGTTGTCTTCAGTTCAGAAAAATGGGAGTATCTGTTTAAGTCAAGCAGGTGAAGGGACTTGTTTCCAACAACAGGGCTTGTGTTGCAGAGTTCTTTTACCTCTCACCAAGCTTAGAAACCAGCAGACTACTCGATGGGAAATCAGCTTTGCATCAGTGGTGAGGAGTGGTGGCTCAGCATGTCTGCAGCACATGTTCAGTATTCTGGGGCTGCCGGTCTACTTGTGTAAAGGTTCAAGTCCTCTACATTGAATTTCCTGTATATATGGTTTCTGAGTGTCTTGTGTCAAATGTGCATTCTAAATACAAGGGTCACTTAGACACCTACATGTCTCCCTTCCAGCAAAACAGTAAATGATTAGTTGCATCTTCATCCCTACTTTACGCTGTCAGTTCCAGACATGGACAATGAACGGGGCACTCGAACAGAAAATAACTTATCTGTGAAATGCACTGTCTTCATACGGTCGCTACCGGGAAGGCTAACCCAGTCAACAAATGCCCGCAGAAGTCGGATGTGTTGGTGCAAATATCGCAGCCATGCTGTAAACGGACACAACGCAATTACATCTTCGGATGAACGCAGAAGAAGAAGATAAGGTCACTAACACCACAAGAAGGGACAGGATTACAAATACCAGCTTTAGAGAGAAAGTTGGAATAATACTGTGTCTGAATTATATTGACAGACAAGAATAAAATGGTTCAGCCATCTAGTAAGTATGCAGCCAGACCAAACTGCATATGAGACTTTTTTTTTTTTTCAACAGCAGAATATCTGGGAAGAAGGTAAGGGGAAGACCAAGAAAGAGATGAATAAATGGTTTAGCTAAAACCTGCAACAACAAAAAAGGTGAATAAATCCATTGACCAAACCACCCGAGAAGCAAAACATCTACAGAAAACCAGGACACTGGGCTTTAACCTGGTAGCGAGATGACAAAAGAAAAAGAAGAATACAAGGCTCTGTGAGTCATTTGAGGAGAATGATGGAGCTCTGGGATTTTTTTGGATGGGAAGTAGAATATTGGCCAGACTGGAACGTTTGCCAGACTGGGGATTCAATCACTGAATATAATCACCACAAAGAACTACTCCAAGAACTTGACCATTGCAATCCCGGGAGTATTTTCCAGACAGGAGATTCAATCACTCGACAGAATCACCGCAAAGAACTACTCCAAGAACTTGACCATTGCAATCCCAGGAGTATTTGCCAGATGGGAGATTCAGTCACTCGACAAATCACCACAAAGAACTACCCCAAGAACTTGACCATTGCAATCCCGGGAGTATTTGCCAGATGGGAGATTTAATCACTGGACAGAACCACCACAAAGAACTACCCAAAGAACTTGACCAGTGCAATCCCGGGAGTATTTGCCAGATGGGAGATTCAATCACTGGACAGAAACACCACAAAGAACTACCCCAAGAACTTGACCATTGCAATTTCTGTAACGCTAGCCAGACTGGGGACATCTCTTCTTCTTCATTGATTTCACAGGCTGTGAACTCTACCAAAAATTACTGTTTGTTTATCCACTTTTGGCCTGGTTCCAGGATTTGGATGTTACGTGCACATCTCACTAATCTGTGTGCATACTTTTGGTTCTTAGCCTGTCAGGCAGATGCACTCGACTTTGAATGATATGTTGATCCTGTCTATGATGA